GTAGTACTTAGTCAGTCTGCAACTCAATTGACACACTCACAGTGCCCAGCTGGCCTGTGACAAATGGCATCCAAACAGGACTGAGGGTGGAGAGTTCAGAGGAGAAGAATAGTTTAGAGGGGGCAGAGGGGTAGACCCCACTGTTTAAAACCCTCCTGGAGTAATCCTGTCACAGTTCCCTGTCAGTGGGCTGCATTCACTGCCATGCAGAAAGGCAAACCGAGGAAAAGATGTCCGTTTCGGCTGCTGGCAACCTGCCTAAGACTGGGGGCAGAGGAAGCCACTCAGCTCCATCAAACGATTCAATCCCTAGACAGTCAAGTAACCCAGCTTGAAAGTGAATTAAGAGAAGAAAAAAATTCTAGTAGTGTGGTGTGTGTGGCTGCCAGAACAACTCAAAACCGACTAGAAATACTAGAACATCAAGAGGAAAAGATATTAGTCACACAAGCAATGGCCTCCCTTGAGCAGAAAGTGAAATTAGCACGATCAGTTGAACCTTCCTTTTGTAGCAGCATTTAAAAAATGGACCCACCTGAAAGAATGGGAAGGGCTGCCCGGCAGAGACAGAGTTTGTCCCAGCAGGGACACTGTAGGCTCTGAGGGCAAGCGAAGCTGTTTTGGAGGCAGCCCTGTTGGAAGTAGGAGGGGTGATGTAACCCCAGCAAAGTTTTGAAATAGAGCCGTTAGCAAAAGCCCAGGAAGGGCTCTGGGCTGGGATTGGCTGAGAGGTTTGGATAAAAAGGGGGGAGCAGTTTTCCCATAGGGGAAGAACAAGAGAGAGAGAGAGAGAAAGGGGCTGAGGGACAAGCTGGAGACCAGAGACAGAGTCTCAACACAGTGGTCCCTCAGAGAGCCCCTAGGAGTGCCCTGCAGAGCAGCAGAAAAGGCTGCCAAGGGAGTCATACAGTATGCAGTTCCACTCTCCGGCCTGGGAGCCTGCAGTGGCAGGATCAGAGAGGGGCTGCTTGTGTGGAGACTCCAAGCCTGGGAAGACCCTCCTGCAGCCTGGTGACCAGCTAGGTGAGCACAGCAGAGCCGGGGGGGGAGCTGGAAACTGCCAGAGTCTGCCCTGCTTTCCCTGAAGGGTGAGGGGCTCCAGGGACAGGCAAAGCCCAGGGAGGGGCTGCATTTGCTGTGCGGGACAGGAGAGTTGCTACAGCCAGCAGCTCAGACACTGCTCCCTGCTGAGCCAGGGAAGGGGGTCAGAGGCAGGGGAAAGCTGTCTTGCAGGGACTGCAGCGGGAGGAGCTGCCGCCTGATGTCCGGAGACCCCAGGAGCACAGTGATGGACACCAGCACCAGGGAGCGTCCACAGACCACGTGCGGAGACACAGACAGTCCCACTCCCTGAGACACCCCACCACGGGCAGTGCACATGGGATCCCCAGTACACTGTGTGCAAGTGAGAGACTGTGTAAATAAGTTCTTGAAGGTTTATTAGTTGGTATATCAATGTGTTTATTTAATGGTTATTTGTTATGTTGTAAATAATTAAATCTTGTAAATATTTTGAGAATTGTCTGTGAGGGTGCTTGATTGTAAGGGGAAGCTCTCAGTTCGGGGGCACTGCAGCAGCTTCCCAGGGGGGCTGGGCAGGTCTACTGGCTACCGGGTACCCCAGGATCCCATTATTCAGGTGACAGCGCATGTAGTGTCGTGCCCAGGGTTATACCTTAAAAAGGTCCGGCAGTGTCTTTATGGCAGAATTTGAAAAACTAAGCTGTGGGATGACCCAGAAAGTAAGTCTGTATGGTGAAATTGCAAAAACTAAACCAGGAAATAAAGAGTATGTAAGGCTTGCAGCAGAAGTCCGTGAGATCCCACTTCCTTATGCCCCACTGGTCCAAAAGAATTTAAAAGGAGAGTTAGCCCAAACCTTCCCAGTAGTAATGGCCCGTGCAGGGCCACAAGGGGGAAAATCTCCGGATGGAGACATGGTCCTTTACTCGCACAGAAATCAAAGAATTGCAAGAACAACATAAAGCAAAACCAGGGGAATCAGTAATAAGCTGGTTAGTTCAAATGTATAGTAAAAAAGCCTCAGCAGTATCTGTGAGTCACACTGAGGCAGCACAATTGATTCTCCGCCCTGAAATCCAGTTAGGTCACTGGGTCGAGCAAGACCAAAACATTACTCTGTTTTCTGCTGCAATGCAGGCGGCTGCCATGTGTTACAGTGACACGGAGGAAGAGTTTAACGCCCCCCCCCATGGACATAGGCTAACTTAGAGGAAGCTATCCGTTGTCTTTATCAGCTAGTTTTAACAGAAATCATTCAAGCAGGAAACTGGAGGCATACTCTAGATTAAAAATTAGTAACAGAAGCCATGTAAAAGAAGTTCTGCCAACAAGCACCAACGGAATGTACTTCAGCTCTGCTGGCATTACAACAAGAGTTAGTAACTCACTTGGTAAGAAATACTATCTGGCGGTTGGTACAGCTTCTGCCCATCTTGCAGAAGTCGGGGCTTCCCAAACCAATAAAGACTGCCAAGGCCATGGCAGTGTCCCCTGAGAAAGATGACCTGGCAGGGCCCCCCAAGTCCAGGAAAGTGGGCAATAAAAAACCTAAAGCTCCACGGGCGCAAATGTAAAAAGAGTTACTGGCAGCAGGATTTAGTAAAAAGCAAATTAATAGACTGCTGACCACAGTCCTGCAAATGTTATAAATCAAATACTGTGAGGGCAGGAAGGGGAAAAAGACAGAACCCTTGGCACCCCCCGACCCCCTGCAGTAGAAGTCCTGGCCAACCCAGCTCCCCGTGCAAGGGGCCATCATGGGGACAGTAGAAAATCGGGGACCAGTAACACAGAATAATATTAGCCCCTTAATCAAAGTGCCTATAAAGACTTGTTTAAATGGAAGGAAAAAAAATCAATTAACATGCTACTAGACACTGGTGCCCAGCTATGTGTTTTAAACTGTGCAGAATGAAAAGGGGCACGGGAAACCCCCTACCAGGTAGTAGGAGTTGGAGGCACCAAACAACCAAAACATTTGGTCCGGCCCACATTTACCTTGCCTAACGGCTCCGTAGTAACAGCAGCTGCTGTCATGCTCTAGGGAGGGCCAAACTTACTGGGACTAAACGTGTTACAAGGGCAGCGGTTTATTCTTAAGCAAGAAACCTGGCAGTTTGGCTGTGCCATAGCCCAGGAAACTGAGCAGGAAAATGTGATGACGGCAGTAGCCCAATGTTCTATGACCCCGTTTGCCCTGCTGGCCATGAAGGGGGTACACCGACCTCAATACCACACCCCTCCCGAAACAACACAACCCATCCGGGACATCATCAGTTGGCAGCTGGAGGATGGAACCATCATTCAGACTCATTCTCCATACAACAACCCAGTGTGGCTGGTACATAAACCAAATAGAGATTAGCAATTGACTATTGACTTTAGGGCTTTGAATGCCAATACCAACCATTTAACAGCCATGGTCCCATCCATGCCTGCATTAACAGAAAACATGAGGTGTTATGGACCCCAGTGGATGGGATCCATGGACATTAAAGACATGTTCTTTGATATTCCCATCCATGAAAATCACTGGCCTTTGTTTGCCTTCACATGACTGCAACAGTAGTACACCTACACAATCCTACCCCAGGGTTGGGTGCACAGCCGCACCTTGGCCCACAGAATGCTAGCTGCGGTGGTCCATGAAGTCCAGTTGAGCCACCCGAAGGTGCATGTCTGGCAGTATATCAACAATGTCATGGTGGGAGGCCAAAACCAGGAATTAACCATTTGTGCTTTTGAGTCTCTAAAGGAGAATGTACAAGCGTTTGGATTCATGCTGTCCAGCAAAAAGATCCAAGAAGTTGGGCCCCAGTGTGAATTCCTGAGAATCCAGTGGCAACAAGGTGGACCCACCGTACCGGCTAAAGAGCTGCAGAGCCTGGTAGATACCCCTGCCCCCAACAATGTAAAAGAGCTGCAAGACCACCTGAGAGTGCTTAACTTCTGACACCTGCATGTCCCCGAGTTTAGTGTGTTGGCCCAGCCTTTGTATAATTTGTGCAAGAAAAAGGCACAGTGGAAATGGGGCCCCAAGCACCAACATGCCATAAGGGCCCTCAAGGAGGCGGTAACCACCCACGCCTCCCTAGCAGCACGATGCCCAGAAGGGGAGCTCTGGCTCAATGTAAAACATGTCCAATGGGGGGCCCCACTGAAGTTTATGGCAGAAAAATACACCTAAGGCAGAGGGAAAGCCTCTTGGGTTTTAAAGCCGAAGCTGAAAGGGAGCTAAAGCCCGATACACCCTGCTAAAACAAATGCTGTGTGCAACAGCTGCAGCTTTAGAAGCCACAGAGGCCCTGAGAGGGGAGTTACCCACTGTCATAACCACTCCAGTACCCATCCTAGAAATGACATTGTCTGACCGACACCTCCCACCTGGAGGGAAGGCCCAAGAAACAACAGTGCAAAAATGAATCTATTATAGTCAGGCTCAGCAGGTAACCCCAAAGGGACATCCAGCACTAGTGAAAAAGGTCACAAAAAGCACAGTTAACATTTACCCAGACGCAGACAGCTCTGATGAGCCATCTCTCATCAAGGAAGCACCTCCCTTCTCACCCAACATGGAAACATTAAAAGACATAAAGCTCTGGTTTACTGATGGCTCAGCCAAAGGTCGCACCTGGAGAAGTGCTGCCATATGGGTTTGAGATGGTAAGCAGCTTACAACGGGGGGAAATGGCCAAAGTACGCAGTATGCCAAACTGGCTGCTGTAGTCAATGTGGCCAACTATAAACGGTTACATGGGTCAGGCTATACAAAATGCATTTATATCTACTGCGATTTGTGGATGATAGTAGAGGGTTGCACCAAGTGGTTATCCCTGTGGAAAAAGAAAAACTTCAAAGAACGAGGCAAAAACATTTAAAGCTGTAATGAGTGGGAGGCTTTGTAAACAATGGCACAGGGAGGCCTTCCCCTACATATGACATATTAGTGCAGCACATGGAAGCAAAAAAGCTAAGGAGCCTGAAGCAAAGTGGAACAGGCAAGTAAATAAGCTAGCCAAAAAACAGCACAGAAGCTCTTGTTGCTGAAGCAAAGGCTTAGCCACCCCCAGAGAAGGTGCCCGGCCCCTCCCTCCAGCAAACCCCTGGAGTGCTAGCTGCAGAATGACTGCATCAGCAGCATGGGCACCCTGGCCGCGATGGCACTGCTCACCTAGCAGCCACCTGGGGCATTCACAGGAAGCACAGGAATTAGTCAACTTCGGTATCACCTGCCAGGAAGTCAAGGCCCGACTAACCCCTGCCTCAGCTACCCCTTTGTCATTACACAATAGAAAAAGTAATATGGTAAGTTTGGCAATGTAACTTTATAAATCCACTTCCCCGCACCCACAAAAAACAAACAGTATGTGTTTGTAGCAGTGGAAGCAGTCGCCAATATAATGTTTGCCCAGGCCTCTGCCAAGACCACTGCACAGGACACCTGTGCAGCACTGGAAAACCTACTAGCCATCTACCCACCTCCTGTAGAGCTGCAAAGTGACAACAGTTCACATTTTCACAACCATTTTGTCTAGGAGTGGGCCGCAAAACATCATCATGTGCTGTGGACCCATCACATTCCCTATAACCCGCAATCTAATGAACTGGTAGAACAAGCCAACAGTATCTTAAAGTGCAACCTGTGAATGGCCATTGGTTCAGCTCTCAAGGACTGGGACCTGCACCTGGATTGCTCAGTCAACTGGCCAACAATCAGCCCCGCGTCGGAGGAATCCCCATTCAGCAAGCCTTTGGTCAAAGTGGGCCCTGTGAGCCAACAGTGGAACAGCCAAGGAGTGGCTGGGGGAAACTCCAAGTGAAAAACCAGGTAACAGTTAGGCATCTGCAGGGGGACAAATAAAAAGAGGTGCTAATAGCACAGGACACAACTCATGGTGAGTGTCAAAGTCAGATCCATCTAACAGAAACCAGACTGCATTTTTCCTTCTTCCTGCAAATTGGGTCCATCCGCGGGCACAGCCATAGCAACCTCAGGGTGCTCTGGAGTTGTCATCCTGCTCCACAGCAACGCCGCCACCATCATCCAGCAATGAAGGGGTGGAATGCCATCATGACGGGACTACTAGTCGTTTGCTATTGTTTAACAAATGTGGGGCATTCCTATGCTCCCGCACCCCACATTGCACCCACTGCTAAGGCCTCGGACACACTGAGATACTGGGAATGCCCAGCTGCAATCAAAGAAGGGCGAAACTGGCGTCTCAGTTGTCGGCGGTGGATTGTAAACTGGCAAGGGGAAACCTGTCAATGTTACTGTGGGACAGGGTGGTCACTCAGTTTCCTCCTATATGCCAAAATAAATGTTGTTGCTCATACTGATGCTACATATGCCACCTGGCAAAAGTCATGTTCATAAAGCAAATACTTCAAAAAGCAAGGGGTAGATTGTGATGGCCAGAACCAGAAGGGTTAACAAGCAACTTATAGCAAAAAGAAAATGCTTTTTGAAGATATCTGAAATAAAGCTTATGAAACTGTTTCCTGTCTGTCTGGAGTATAACCCGTAAAAATGATATATAGCTGTTTGCACTTGTCTTGAGACAGCATGAGTTTTAAAAAGCAGAACTAAAAAATAAAACTGCAAACCTAGCTGATTTAATACTTTTTGCTTAAAGTCAGTAAAATTAACGGATCTAACCACAAGGTATAATTAACATAGTGGCTTGAACTTGGGTGGGGATATTTTAATCTCAGACCCCAAAGTGATGTGGTATGATTTGCTTATTGGGTAAACCCAAGCTTAGGCAGTAACTTATTACAATGATTTCTAACACCTTTTAACCCTATAGAATAACAGCTACAGAATAAGATTATGAGTGGCTAAAAAGCCAACAAATTAGCATAGACAAGCTATGAAAGAACATGCACGTTAAGTGACCCACAGGAAGGATGGAACAGAAGGGTCATTGCTGTCCCATGCCCTCAGATCTCTTACTCCCTGTTTGAGCAAGGATCAGATCTTAACTGAGGGACCTTCCCCTGATATCACCCTCCGATAGCATAAATTGGGGATGCCTGACTTCGCTAAATCAACTTGATGTGTACCTGACACTGAGGAACTATTAATAAGTTACTAACCAAGTGAAAACTCTTGGTTGATTTCTGTCTATTTTTATTATCACTGCCAATTTTAACTTGTAGTGTTATGTTATCTGTTTATTAACTTAACCTTTTTACTAACTGACATATATACAAACTATATCTTTTGCTGTTATGAGTAAAATTAATTATTTTTTATAAGTAAAAACTTGTCATTACTTTCCTCCCAACATTACCTCCTCAATCCCGAACCAAAAAGCCCAGTGGCTAACATAAATTGTAGTACTTAGTCAGTCTGCAACTAAATTGATATACCCACAGTACCCAGCTGGCCTGTGACAATCCGCATTTCAGATTTTATTGTGCACAGTTCTGCACTCATTTGAAATATGGCAAAATTGAGAAAAGCTTTGCCAACTTCACTGTTGGATGGAAAACCACGTACAATAGTTCTGGGAGTTCACAGCTTCTGGAACTGCCAAGGCACGTTATCAAAACTCCCTCTTTTCAGTTCACTAATGCACTAATAATGTTGAGTAACCTGGGGAGAGTCAGAGGACCCTACTTTAAAATGAGAGGAGGGTGAGAGAAAATAAGCTGTATTTGAGGCTCAGATGAGCCTAAGCCAATGTATTCAATGACGGCTAGTCAGTTGGTGTCACTTCAGTTCAATACACAGTGGTCCCAGCCTTCCATTCTTTATGCCTCTATAAACATCTTTTTTTTCATCTGAATGTGGGGGGGTTGTCCATCAAGAACTGCAGAAACAGAAAACTAACATTTGCAGTCACATACATCACAAACTAACCCAGGGGTTGGCAACCCCCAGCACGCATGCCAGAGTATGGCACGCAAGGCCATTTTGCTTGGAAGGCCACATCTAGCCTGGACTCTGGGCAGCCTGTTGCTGGCTATGGAGCTCAGGCTGCTTGAAGCAGGCAGCGTGAAGGCTGCAAGCCCTACTTCAACCAGCCCAGGCTCTGTGGCTGGTAGCAGCACCCAGAGCCTGGGTCATCTGCAGCTGGGAGGCTGCAAGCAACTACACCAGGCTCCGGAGCCCCAGGAGGGTCTGTGGTGGCAGGAGCAACACGCACACCTCTGAGCAGATGGCAAGGGAGGAGCCTGGGCCAGCACAACTCTGGTCCCTTCTGCACTGCTCCCCTGGAGGCACATATGCAGTCATCACCAGCAACAAGGATTGGCCCCTCGCAGCTCTCTCGTGGTCTGCCCCTAGCATGCCAAGTCAAGGTGTGGGTTAGGGCTGGGGTGTTTTTGGCACTCCAGCCAAAAACACTGCTGACCCTTGAACTGACCTAAACCATGGGATATAAGGTGAGTGCCTCTTTTCATATAAAGGGATCCAAGATATAACACTCCTATTTAAAACCGACATAATGTTTAAAAGAAAAGGCACAATTCTTTGGGTTTTACCCCCACCTTATGCCCCATTTCCTTAATTTACAAATGCCAAGATTTTACAAGCTAAAGATTAGGTCTTCAGGGAATCAGGACTGCTAGGAGTCTAAAGTTAGAAATAGACAATTCTTGATGTTGCCTCTGTGCCTCCATAATGGTTTTATGGCATCACAAATACCAAGCAAACAATGTTTCTACCTTTCTTCCTGCCACTGATGAGGCACGAAAAAGGTACTAAGGAGTTGTGCTGCTTTATTGTGGCCAATGTCTGCGTTTGCTTTGTGGTGGGAGAGTGCAGGCAGCCCGAAATTGCCCATGCTCCCCTGTCACTCCAGGCAGGGACTTTAGGGGCTTGAGAGCCCTGATTCTGCACACCCCGGCTGTTACAGTGATGTACCCCGAGGTATATTTCTGTAACCAGGGAAATCCCATGCAGATCCCAGCATGGAGGCAGGGGACCTGAGAAACACAGCTGCCCCTTGCCTCCACACCAGGACCCTCATAGCCTTAGGCCTCCATGGGACCTGCGCTAACCCATGTCTCATGCAAAGGTATGGTTCAGCATGTATCCAGGCAGGGCCAGGGGACAGGCACTGGAATTGAGTAATCCCTGACTGAACCTCCATGCAGGGACTTGAGCCTCCATATGAAGCATGCGTCAACATAGGTCCCTGCACAGAAACACAGGGTGCTGGGGATTTCCTGGCTCTTTCATCCCACCACCTTCCCTGCCAGGATTCATGCTGACCCAATGCTTCAGGGGGACACATGGGCTAGTGTGCAGTCTGGCAAGGAGAGGTGATTAGCACAGGAGCCAGGGAATCTCTGGTATCCCATACCTCCCTGCCAGGATTTGCACCAACTCATGCTTTAGGCAGAAGCATGGGTCAGTATGGGTCCTCACATGGAGGCAGGGAGTGCCAGGGATTCCCCAGCCCTTACGCCACCCTGCACCTTCCCGCTAGTCCACAGCAGGGCCTATGCTGACCATGCCTCCACATGAGGAATGGGCCAGCACAGAACCCAATGGGGGGGAACAAGGGGCTCAGGGAATCGCTGGACAAGGGAAGCATAACATCCCTTGTGCTGCATCAGGCAGGTGATATGCTGTATCACCAGTGTCCTCCTTTGAACCTGCCTGTCTATTCTGAAATGTAAAAGCAAGCCCCTGTTTTTCAAAACCTTGGCTATTCTGTATAAGATAGTTTCTTTACAAACAAAGAAGAGAAGACCCCTCTTTTCCTCAGCAATACAAGAGTTCACTCTACCTTTCATATATCCTGAAAAAACACTGACATTAAAATAGCTTTTGCTAGATAAAGAAAAGGTACTTACCACACAGTTCCTTTGTATCCACATTACTGTAGCAAGGGAGATACAAGTAAAGGAAGAAGAGAGAGAGAGTTAAATAGTTTAAAAGTAAAGGAAAAAAATAAAAGATGTATGAAGAATGTATATTATTAGAGATGGACACAACACATAGAAAAGTTATGAGCCTAGTTTCAACTTTATAGTTTAATCCCATCCCAGTTTAATACCCATGCTTTTCACAAACCACCCTCAATTCACTATAACAGGCTTTTAGTGCTTTAAGCCTTAGTAAACTACTTAATAGCAGAGCTGTGCCAGTGCTAGATAAAATTCTGTCTGCATACTGACAATACAGGCTCAGTGATGGGAAGTGTTTTGATTCCCATCAAGACAAGCAGGAGACAGTCATTTACACACACATAGTTTGAATGGCAATTAACTTGAATTAGGCCTGATTGTCCAGGGAAAAAAAGTGTTAATCTCAGATACATCATAGGTACTAAAAATGGGACAATGGGTTTGTAGGATCCCAAATTAATGGCTTTGTCCCAGGGGAAATCTGAAGTCTGTTTTCAGCCTGTGAAATTCACCAGATCGTCAACACACAGGGAGTCACAATAACCAACCTACAAGACCAAAACGGCCCAGTTGCACCTAAATGGCACCACTTTCAGTGGATTATACTAAGGATTTCTCACTTGGTAGTTTTTCACAGATCTAGTTAATCACCAGTGTTGTACAAAATAAAGTTCTTTAATAGTTGCTCTACTACAAGCATCAGTAACCAAGATACAGAATTATTCATATGCATGCTGTGGAACCACCACGTGCAAAGATCATTCCTTATACCTGAACACGCATAGGTCTAGCAACTTTACGGACAAGCATTTTCTTGTTAAAATGACCCATTGCATTCTGTTATAAAACAACATGATACTGGTACTTTGTAAATTATCTGCAAAGTAAGTGATGTGCCTGTTTTATGTTTCAAAGGTAGCGAGATCAAGAGTTCATTCCTTGTTGGCACTGAATATTCATTTAAAAATACAATCTGAATTGGTATCAGTGACAAATGTCAAGTTAGCAGTCTCAGCCATGAGAGATTTGACCATAACTTGGTAAGAAGAGGTCAGTATTATAAAAGTTCAGTTGGATAAATGGCTTGCTCTGTGTTCTTCTCTTCAGAATTACTCTGTAGGTCAATGGACAAGCAAGGGACCAGGGCAAAGCCTGACAGGAAGGGCTGATTCCATCCAAATAATATAGTCAGCTCATTAGGCACGAAACTAGAGTAGCAGCACCTACACTATCAGCGGATTCAAAAGAAAAAAAAAGTCTCCACCTAAAAACCATGCTGTAAAAAGGCACAGAGCACTAGTTTCTAGTACCGTATTTAGATTACTAAAACTGAAACACAATTACAATTCATTTAACATTTTTATTAAGACTCCCCCACCATTTCTCATAGCTAGGGAAACACAAGGGAGGGAGACAGTTTAACTTTCTGTTCTTTCCCCCCCTGCAGTTTGGCATTTCAAACTTTTGCCAGGGAACCGATGAAACTGAAAGGCATCAGATTTAACAGTGAAAAAATATGCTGGTTTATACACAGCATAGTAGTATCATGCGGGCTCACTGCCACACATTGGAGGTTAAGAATTTAGTAGAATTAAAAAAAAAAAAAAAAAAAAAAAAATTAAGGCATCTATTTGGCTAATAAGAACATATTCATAGATTCATAGGTTGTTAGGGGCTGGAAGGGACCTTGTAGATCATCGGGTCCAGCTCCCTGCACTAGGCAGGAAAAGACAACTGGAATCAAGTAACCATAGTGAGGTGACTGTCCGGTCTCCTTCTGAAGATTTCCAGGGTGGGTGACTGCACCACCACTGAAGGGAGTTTATTCCACAGTCTGGACACCCTGACTGTGAAAAAGTTTTTCCTGGAATTGAGCCTGAAGCAACCTTCCAGGAGTTTGTATCCATTGGTCCTGGTGTTCACCAGGACACCCCTGAAGAGCTGGTCACTGAGTTCTTGATGTATTCCCCTGATGCAGTGATAAGCTGTTACCAAGTCCCCTCTCAGCCTTCTCTTCTGTAGGCTGAAGAGGCCCAAGTCTCTCAACCTCTCCTCGTAGGGCATGTCTGGCAAGTCCCTGATCATAGGGGTGGCTCTTCTACGGTCTCACCAGTGTGGAGTACAGTGAGAGTATCACTTCCTTAGTTTTGCATGAAATGCAACAGTTAATGCATGCCAGCATGTTGCTTGCCCTGCTGACCACAGCTCATGTTCATGCAATGATTGATCACTATCACTAGGTTCCTTTCAGCTGTGGCACAAGTCAAATTGTCGCCACTGAGCCTGTAGGTATGTTGGGGATTGTTTACCCCCAGATGGAGTAACTTACACTTCTGAGTATTGAATGTCATCTGGTTCCAGTCCACCCAGCTCTCCAGCCTGTCCAGGTCTGCCTGTATCTGCAATCTAACTTCTGGCATGACCATGCTCCCCCATAACTTGGTGTTGTCTGCAGGCTTGGCCAGTGAGCTTTTTACCTCCACATTCAAATCATTGATAAAGATGGTGAAAAAAAATCAGTCTAAGCACAGACCCCTGAAGGACACCATTGGCCACTTCTTGCCAGGATGACATGGATGGGTCCTGCCATGCAGCCAGTTTTCTACCCACTGAACTGTTGAGCAGTTAAGCCCGCAATCTTCCAATTTTTCCACAAGGAGGTCATGGGATATTAGATCAAAAGCCTTTTGGAATTGTAAGTATATGTCAACCTTCTCTCACCACCTGGACACAGCAGAGAAGTGTTTATATGCAATGACATGAGATAAGATATGGTACAGAAGGGATATAAAGTAGGCCAGTTTTAGCCAGTTCATGGTGGTGCAGCATACTAGCACTTCTGTCACACTGCTGTCATAAGTTCTAGAATTTCAACTTTCATTTTCCAAAAAAGTCAGCCTTTGACTCCAATGTTATGAAGAAAATTCTAAAAATCCATTCAGCTGATATGATGATAAATAGGTGTCTTTAGTAAGTATGGAGCAGCAGCTCTGAGTGGCATGACATTTTCTTCCCAGATGTTAATTCAGCTACCCACTTGTAAATGTAATGCCAACATCATTAATACAAAGTTATTTTATTAACTAGGATCACATATGTGCACCATTTTACAGTGCAGCAGATGGATGGCATCTGGGAAATACAAGAAAGAGCTATGACCACGGAGTCCAGCAGAGTTCCTGAACAGTCTGAAGTCCTACTAAGGGAGACCAAAGGTCATAGAGTTCAGAGAGCACAGATATCAGATGGTTATCACACACACACACACACACACACGCACACACGCACACACGCACTTTTATCATCTGCACCTTCCAGTATGCACTGCATCTCATTTTGGCAATTCTCATGAATAGTGTTCCCTCCTAACGTGATTCCCCAAATACAACCTCAAAATGCAGGGTACAACCCAACATCCAAATTGGTAGAAAAGTTCTTCTTACTCAAATCATATTACTCCAGTAATGACCTATTATGGGAGTTCTTCCACTTTCCAATTATGTGGGTCACTATGAGACAGGTTACTAGGCTACCCAGACTCTATTTTTCTGATCTGGTATGGGACATTGTTTAATTCTGAAAAGCTCTGAAAAAAAAAAAAATCACTTTTCATAAGAACTTCAGTCTCAATTCTGTCTGGTCAAAGTGCTTCAAAAAGTCTTATTGCCCTATGTAGAAGCCAGGCATAAACTACAGTCCGAGAGTTCCCTGTACACAAAGTTCCACAAACTAGCCCTCAGTGTATGTATGTGCTACTAGTATGTAAAATGTATGCCCACAAGCACAGAGGGCACGGCCAGGAAAGAAAGACTGTGACTAATCTACTTGAGACTCAGATTCCTGCATTATTACAAAGGTTATTTCAGACTTGAAAGGAATTCAAATGTTGTCTTAATAGAATTATTCTTTATCAATCCATTTATATCCAGCAAAGCTATTTCTTTAACTAAACTCATTCTTGATCTGCCCAACCTCTCAGCACAGAGTGGCTTAAGGAAGAAAAGATTTTTAAACACTGATTTCATCACTGGAGCTCTCTGATAGTCTTAACGTCGCCACCTACTAACCCTCTGAAAGCACTCCTGGCACTTTATGCCCTAGAAGACTTTAACAGGAAGCACTGGCAGTTTCCTTACTCCAGATTCTGAACTTCAATAGATCTCAATCAAGGGACCCATCTCTTTCACGAAGTAAACATCCAAGACTTCCCACTTGTGGGGGTTTTTTTACTTAATTGAAATTTTGTTTTGCCTTTATGGCTTATAGGAGAAAAAGCAGCTCTTTTCCCTGCAGGTTGTTTATCCATCATTTTTCCCCTCTTGCACTCCTTTCTGGATCACTAAAAGTCTCCCAAATCTTCTCCTGTCCCTAGTCCTCTCTCTCAGTTCTGACAGAGTCTTTTCTATCTCATGCTACCAGAGACCATAGCCCTTGCTGCTCTGAAGCTTTCCTGACATTAGCATTTACTATAGTTCATTTCTCCAGACCTTTAGGGCTGCTGATTCACTTTTCCATCATGCATTATGGGACCATTTCCATTCACTCCTCTCTTCCAACACATTTCCCATTTGGGTAATCATTTCAGGGTGAGGAAAAGATGTTGTCAAAGCTTGTGAGAACAAGAAACAGTGAATCCACATTGACAACATACTCGCTATTTCCAGTGGTGAAGGACAGATTTCCTCCCCAAGTTGACCAGGATCTTTGGAGCATTTTCTGCCTCCACTGGGAAATCACTCAATATCAGTAGAAACTTTCATAAGGAAAACACCAGAACACATTCAACTGGCTGGGAGCCTTTCCAAAGAGCAGCACAACATTTTAAATGGGTTAATAATGGACATGATCAAAATTGCTAGAAAGATTTCCATTTCCCCCCCATCAAAAATTACCTTTAAAGAAAAGCAATATTATGTATTATTGACATTGTTAACATTTGTCCCAAAAGCATAAAAAGTATCAAAATGTTACCTACATAGTTACCAAAAAAATTTACTAGAAAAATGGGGTTAATTTTCATTTATTTCTTTTACAAAGACATACCATTTTTGGAAATACAAAATAAGTTTAGTTTGAACACTTCAAAATTTCAGAACTTTTCACCAGCATCAATTCTCATTTCTCTGTCTACTCTGTCATCATAAATTAAAAATTGTGTTTTCTTGTAGAAACAAAGTAAAAATAATGTTAGCAAACAAGAGGAACATCTGTCCTAGTGTTGAATAAAGTTGCTGCACAGAGCCCTAGCTTTCATCTGGAAATTATAAAAGCCTGTATTGATTTCCACCCACATTGTGCCATGATTACCAAGGCTGTTGTGTCAAAAGGGATGCTTGAAAATGGTGGTAGTCTCAATAAACTGGATGACCTTTTAGTAGTAAACACTACATTGATTTGTATCATTAATAATTTAGGACAAAGCATTGTGCTCCTACTATACAAGCCTACTTTTATTTGGATATCAAGCAAGAAAGGAAGACCTTCCTCCCATTGAAATCACAGGAAGTTTGCTATCGTCTCTAGTGAGAGTAAGATCAGAGCCCAAATGAATAAATCAACCATATGATGGAACCCACAGAAACAATTTCGCCCTCCACCAAGACCAAACTCCAGAAATGAAGATGCAAACTTTATCACTTCCTCTACAAACTTCCTGCTCTGTGCTCACAGCCAAGGGGGCAACAATGTTCAAATTTCGCACTTGTAACTTACTGTATTTACTTAATTATCAAAGGAGGTGTCACTGTCCCACACACACACACACACACACACACACACACACCAGAATAGGGGAAAAAAACTCATCTTAAATTTGCATACAAATTATACATTGTCTATCATTAAACAGCTGCCAAAAGCAGCATGTGCTCAGTATTGGAAACCAACTATGAAGCTGATTAAATACAGCTAACACTGAGCTTGACTATGAAACACATAGCCCATATTGGGCAAATGTACAGATTTTTTAAAAATTTTGTATCTTGAGCCAAATCAGTTCTGAATTCTATCAACTGAGCAGAGCTCAATCATTCAAAACTGTGTGGTGCTGCCAGTGAAAAGTATCCTACCTCCCAGACTCTTCAGCCTGGGGCTTCAGAAAGGAATTTTTTTTGTATTCCAAGTCAAATAAGCAAAATCAGATCCAAAGCCTCCCAATCTATTCAGGCTCGACCACGTGTGCCATTTGTAGTTGGAGCCAGATGCTAAACTCCTCACTGGGGGTAATTTCTGACACCAATAATTTCATTGTGTTAACTCTTAATTTCACACATTTTGGGCACACAGCCCTACAGAACTCCTTAAAAGTAAGCGTTGAAAATTTTATAAAGAAGAGTTGCTTCCAGACCCATTTATTGTATTGAGGTAAAGGGACCATAAGCCATGCATATGAAGATGCTTGCAGAGAAGATGCTGAAATCACCTTAAGGCCAAGATGTGAAAGGCATATTTATTTTTCTGGAAAGCAGAGTTTCACACAAGCTTTGGCAAGTAGGCCAGGCTCCCACTTATGTCCTAAGAATTCCCATTTTGGATAATCCTTTTAGGAGATTTCATCTGTTATCAGCTAGGGAGGAAACTATCCTGTTTCCTTTCTCTCTCCTTCAGTTCTTGAACTATATTTTGTAGGCTTTGTGGTTCTGATAACCATCTGGAGCAGTCAGTGTGCTGGGCAAATTAATTTCCATTTTCTTGCTGAATACATTTCCAGATATATCTCTTGAGCTCCTGCTATTACTGGGATTAACACAATTGTCCTTCTGCTACAGAAATTTATCATTTTACCTTAATTCCTTCTGATATTTAGCATCTTTCCTAAATGTTAGGACTATTTGAATGATTCCAACATAATTTCCAGGATTATGGGGAGTTAATTTTCCATGAACTCATTATTTTTTTTTATCATAAAATAATGCAATAGAAATGTTAAACATGCAGATGTGAGGCTTCATCTGAATGAGTTCACCTACTTTAGAAACAATAGGCCAACATACTTTTGCAATGGGTAACTGCTTAATCAAAATCTTAGCAATTCATTTGGAGAAAAAATTCAGACACAAAAAGGTAGAATCCTTTTTGCTGAAGAAACATTTCAAATGAAGAAGGTACAGTCCCTGGCTAGTGAGAGCTCACCAGCCTGTCTTAGATAATGTTGGCAGCAAATTAAATAGCTTTTTATCTCTGCAGAGCTGAAAAGACAACTACAATAGTTGGTGGATGGGGGGGGAGTGGTGACATTTCCAAAAGTGTTTTGGTGACTTGAACTCTTGGGGTGGTATTCTATTCTCTTTTGAAGGTCTAGACAACGAGATCTGGTCATCTACCTGATCACCTAAATCCCCCAAATGCCATTTATGTATGGGTTGGCACTATTTCTTAGCATGTACATAGCTGTTCATGTGCATGGGGTTATGGACCCAGGATATCAATCTGTCTTTAAGGCTAGGGACAAGTGATCAGAAACTAGTTTAAACTGTAGCATGCTAGAAGCTCAGTGCACATAAACCAGTTTCAAAATGGCTGAAACTGGTTTAATAAACCCAGACTTAACTGATTTGGGTCAAACCGGTTTATGAAACTTCTGTCCCAAACCCTTCTTCTTCAAGTTAAATCAGAGTCCCCAGCATCCTAGCATTTTGCAGCCTTGGGTTGAGCTGTACTGTCTGCCCCTCTGCTCTCTAGCTGGAACAGTAAGGGTTGGCTCACTGGCCTGCTCACTGGTCTCACTGGCTGGCTCACTGCCCACCCCCACAGCAAACCCCGGCTGGGGACTGGGGCCAGGGAAGGGGGTAAAACTTCCCTTCCCTGAGTACAGAGCTGCCCTGCCCTGCCCTGCCCTGCTTGCTTAGTTCTGGCTTCAACTGTGGACTACAAATCCTAGAGGCATCTGGAAGCAGGAAGAGAAAGTGATGAGCAAACCTGCAGAGTCCTGCTGTTGTGATTGTGGACTGAGTCCCCCAGGGTTCAGTACTCAAACCAATACTCTTTAATATATTCATAAATGATCTAGATTTGGGTATCAAAAGCAGACTGGCTAAGCTCACAGATGACACCAAATTATGGGGAAGGGTGATCATGCTAAAGAATAGGCTGGGGATTCAGGCCAACCTGGACGGGTTCACAAAGTGGGTGGATCAAAACCTGATGACATTCAACACAGTGAAATGCAAGGTGCTCCACCTCGGGAGAAAGAACCCACATCATACTTACAGGTTCAGCAGTGCTATACTCACTAGCATCACAACCAAAAGAGACTTGGGGGTCATGATTGATCACAAGATGAACATGAGCCACTAATGCAATGCAGCAGCTGGCAAACCAAATACAGTAAAAGCTCTGTTATCCAGCATCCTCTGTTACCTAGAACGGGGGAAGCCAGGTAACAAAATATGCCAGTTAATTGAGTGGCCCAAACAGGTGTCCTTGCCTGTTTGGGGCACCGCTTTTCCCGCAGCATCCGGGGTATTGCTGACCCTCCCACGGGCCCTGAGGGACTGGGAGGCGGACCCTGTGGGACAGGAGGCAGGCCTCATGCAGACTGCTATTCTCTGGGCCGTAGGGGCTCAGAGAAACCGGAAGTGCCACGGTGGGCACTTCTGGTTTCACTTTACCTTACAAGCCAGCATGCCGGTTAATAGAACATGCTGGCTTGTAAGGTGCCAGTTAATAGAGCTTTCACTGTACAACTCCAGCTTGCATCTACTGATGCATCTCAAGCAAGACCTAAGAAGTTATCCTCCCATTTTACTCTGCCTTGGTGAGACCACAGCTGGAGTACTGCATCCAATTCCGGACTCCACACTTTAGAAAGGATGTGGAGAAGCTTGAGAAAATCCAGAAGAGAGCCACGTGCATGATTAGAGGTCAAGAGAGCAGGCTTTATGAGGAGAGGCTGAGAGGCATGGGACTCTTCAGCCTGATCAAAAGAAGGCTCAGAGTGGACTTGGTGGTAACTTATAAGATTATAACGGATGTACATCAGGAACTGGGAGAATGTCTGTTCAACAGGGCACCCCACGGGAAGACAAGGTCTAATGGTCACAAGCTGATGGAAAACTGTTTTAGACTGGACACAAGGAAAAACTTCTTTACCGTCCAAGTATCCAGAGTCTGGAATACACTCCCCACAAAAGTGGTGCAAGCCCCTATTCTGGATATGTTCAAGAAACACTTGCATGCTCACCTTGCTACGGTCATCTGATCTCAGCTAACTTCCTGCCCTTTGGATAGGGGGCTGGACCCAATGATCACACAAGGTCTCTTCCAGTCCCAACATCTATGAAATCTATGAAATACCAGAGACCTTGGAGGCAGCAGGAAGATGAAGTGAATACACAGCCCATGCTGTCTATGTGCCAGAGAGCCAAGCTCTAGCATCCCCCCCAGTTTCTGGCTTGATCCACTGCAGGCATGTGACTGCACTTCCTAAATCAAAAGTTATGTCTGTTCATTTCCTTACTGGTTCAATCTTTGCAGCTTAGACTAACCTGCAAGGACTGAATCAATTCAGCCTCAGGCTTTTTTACTTTCTGCACTTAGCCTAAGTGGCATTTTTGGGACTTAGATGATCATACCTTATCATCTTTCAGAAAAGAATAGAATGCTACCCTTAATCATCAGTGGGACATTAATTTTTCTTGAAAAATGCCACCGTGTTAGGGAGGGGATAGGTCGGGGAGGAGGGGGCAAGCTCTAAAGAGGGATGGGTCTGTAAAGCAGGCTGGGATGCTAGCAGACTGTGACCTAACTTGCAGCAGGAGGGGATCTGGTACAGAAGTTCAATAGACTGGTCTAACTAAACCAATTAAGTCTGCTACCATATCAATCCAGGTCTATCTTAGACCAAGATCTGCCATTTTTAAACAAGTCTGTGTGCCCTGAACTTCTCTATGGTTGCAGGTTTTGACTAGTTTCTGATCACTTGCACTGGTTTACATGTAAAGTCTGTACCTGGTCATTGATGATGTAGGGCCTGGTTACTGCCTGGAGTACTGAATGTGGGAGTGCTGAAGGGCAATCATTTGGGTAGTCCAATAGATGGCAAACTTCTCTCTGTTCATTACTGAACAACTATCCTGAAATGGTACTGTACTCATGGAGATGCTGTCTTTTTCTCTTAAAGATGATTAGCAGATCCTGAACGCTTGTTATTAAAGATTGTATTCCAATTTTCACAAGCTGTAGGGTTGTCAGCTATAAAGCACTAAGCTAATTTCATTCTATCTGAATATACTTCAACATCTATTTAACTGCATTTTGTGATTTTCTCTTCTCATTCCTAAATTATTGCATTTCAGTGATGATTTTGCTGGAGTTTAAGATCCTTATGGATGATAGTGCTTAGCTAAACATTCATTACAATATGAAAGTAATGAGATGCAAATAAATAAGAAAAAGCCATTTTTTAACATTTAAGTTTAAATTTTACAATGCACATGCATTGGAGAATACAAACAATTCTGTTTCTGTTCATAGCAACTCATTGAAATTGCAAGTACTATATACAGATGGGTATACATTTAAAAAATCTAACTAGAAGCTGAAAACACCATTTATATGCATGTGAGTGGTGATGACTTTACATGCAATCTATGACCTCACACGTGCACTAGAGTAGCTATTGATTTCACAAGCTGTATTAAATTTATCTGTATTTATAAGATTTTCTTACAAAATCAACAGGAAATTAATGGTGTACTAGTGTAGACAGATTAGTTTGATGACTGACCTAAACTGCCTTTTTTTCACCCCAAGAAAGGAAAAGCTCTGAGTCTTCATTTCATTTTCATACCCTTATGTGGGACTGCATATGGTGAGAAAAAGCTTTTTATAAATGATATTTATGGCCTAGTTGAAAATAAGACTAAAAACCTCAAAAGTACCCATTCTTGTTAGCTAAATTTCCAGTCTAACTTTGCTGATTAAGTAATTCTGGTAGAGTCTCTGAACTTGTAGGTATCTTTCTGTACCATCTGAATGGTTTTAAGCTGGTCTGTTCTGATATTAGATGGTATATTCAGACTGTGTTGATATGTGCATGTGTATCGAAAATTAGAATCACATGGTTAGACATCTTGTGAATTTTTTACGCTATTAGGAATCAGAAAAATAACTTGCTCTATTAGAGTTTAGTTGATTTTCCTTTTTGGTAAAAGGTTGTGTGCTTTTGGGTTTGAAAAGCACAGTGTAATAATGATTAAGTTAATCATTTGTGTAATAATTTTGGCATTTAGTGAAAAGTGTTCTACAATCAATGTCTGAATACTATTCAGATCAAGAGTAGAGTAAACAGATGGAGGGTTTATTCCAAGAGATGGATGTTTCTCTTTCCAACAGATTTGATACTGGGAGCTCTGTACCATGGGCTGGAGAACAGCCATTACCTAAGATTCCAGGCTTGATTTCAGATATATCTTTTCAGAATGTCTGTGTTCCATTTTCAAGACAACAGTGTCCCAGGACCACCCCCCCAGCCTGGCAGGCAGATCTGCTATGTGCTGCTAAGGGCAGGGCATTGGGGAATCCAAGGCCAGTTGCAGCCCCATATGTGCCCCCAAGACATGCTAAGCAAGGCCCAGTGCTGGGCAGCTCCTGGGCTAGCAGAGACACTGGACAGGGGCAGGCATGGCTGGGAAGCACAGTGGACTGCAGGCATGCAGGGCCAGGACTGTCACCAATGCACACGTCCAGAGTCAGGGGTGGGGTGACTTCCTGCTTCCTGCCACTGTGTGGCCTGGCTGGCCAGCCCCCAGCCTGCCCCCCTGCCAGCAGCTGGCTGTGAGCAGTGGCAAGAGGGAGGGGTTGGGGAGGTGGGGCAGTGGAGGCAACCTGCTGGCCTTGTACACTGCTGCAGTGGCCATACTTTCCCCTTCTCCCCCCAAGAGCAAACGTCCGTTTTGTTTGCTCCTGATCCAACTTAGGGTAGTTGAAGTGTGAAACTTAGACTGCTTCCGCCTTGGGCTTTTTTAATGTCTGTACTTAGCCAATAAGTTTCAATAAGAACATGGTTGCAGAAATAGGGTTTTAAAATGAAAAAATATTAAGGAAACTCCCCGTGCTAAAACTCATCATCAAGCAAACTTAAAAAACAAGCAAACAAATAAACAAAACTCTTATCTTAACCCACCTCCACTTCTTTCCCAGACCTCAGCAAGGACACTTAGGAAACTTGTCCAGTATTTCATTCAACTAAATAAATTATCAAAAAAAAGATATCACACAAAAAGTAATATTCTTATTATTATTACCACCCCCCACAAAAGCTCCCAACACCTTAAGTCTGTCAGACTAGCACTTGTCTGGCAATCTTCTTTTAATTTAAATCCACACCATATTAATAACATACCTAATTACAGTGCTTATTAAAGTCATAACCCAGACAATGAGAAAAATATAATAATGTTCAGATGGAACTTTAAGAAGAAATCATTAAAGATCACAGTATTAAGTAGCTTTCATGTATACTTTCAGCTTAATCCAGGTGATTTATTTCCAATTTCCTTTTTATGAAGAATTTTTTTTTATACAAATAAAAGAACACTGATCTATCATTTTTTAAGGTTATAAGCTTTCTTGAATGTATTTGCCCAGTTAACTGTTAACTTCACTAGATATGGGAGGTAACATCCAATGCATTTTCTGTTAATTATTACTCCT